TGACTCAGCCATTTTCACTTTTCCAATAAGTTGCCCAGTTACTCTGTGGTCTCTGATAATGATGTAGATGGTCTGTGATATTAAAGTATTACTTCTCATTTGAAGACTTATATTATCTCAGCATTTTCAAAACCCACTTGCCTACAAACCTAGTGTGTCTGTGGTTAGCTATAATATAACTACTTGCCAAACAAGTGGTTTGGGTTGCTGAGATTTTCATTTAACTTTGAATTTCGGGGATTAGAAAAAACACACTCAGGAGCCTATTTTGATAAATTGCATCAGATTGAAATGTTGGGATTAAATTAGTTGTTTTGTTTTCGAAAATGTCTCTTTGCTGTGCTCAGTTCTGTGCTTTGGTTGAAGGTGTGTGTGTGTGTGTGTGTGTGTGTGTGTGTGTGTGTGTAGGCACACGTTTAAAACTAATGCTTGAACTATTGATGATGACCTTTATATAATTTATTTCTCTTCAAATTCCCGCATGATAACCGAGTTTACTTTCATGTTTGTTACCAGTAAAACACTTCTCTCCAGTGAAGAACTAGTGTTATTTCTTTTTTATGATAGTGAACAACTTTTCATGTTTCCCTGATTGCTTTATTTCTCAGGAAGATCTGATACAAATTTGGAGCTTTATGTAGACTTTGTTTTTGTTAGCATACTTTTTTCATTTAAAAAGCAAAACAGCCTGGCTTGTGTGGCTTAGTTGATTCAGCTTCAACCCAAGCACCAGGAGGTCACTGGATTGATTCCAGGTCCTCAGAGCACATACAGGGGGCAATGGCTGGCAGGGGAGGGCAATTTTGGGTAAGATTAGGCTGGCAGGGGAAGGTAGTTGGGGGCGAGATCAGGTTGGCAGGGCAGGGCAGTTGGGATAATGGAGCTGGCAGTGGAGCAGTTAGGTGTTAATCAGGCCAGCAGTGGAGCGGTTAGGGACAATCAGGCAGTCAGGCAGGTGAGCAGTTAGGAGTCAGCAGTACCAGATTGTGAGAGGGATGTCTGACTGATGGTTTAGGCCCAAGGGGTCCCGGATAGGAGAGGTTGCAGGATGGGCTGAGAGACACCTCCTAAACCCCAGTGCATGAATTTCATGCATCAGGCCTCTAGTCTATATAAATATATAAAGCTCCTGTTGGCACTAATCGCATTTGTATGTTTCCATCTTTCATTGTTGATCATGAATTTGGTTGACACTTCTATTATAAGGTGACCAGATGTCCTGCTTTTGGCAGGACAGTCCCAATTTTTAACAATTTGTCCCATGTCCCGCGGCGTTTTTAAAAAGTCCCGATTTTTGGAAAGATTCAGGACTTTTTTTAAACGCCGTGGGACACAGGATAAATTGTTAAAAATCAGGACTGTCCCACCAAAAGCAGGACGTCTGGTCACCTTATTTCTATTATGATGGGCAAATAGTGATATTAAAATATTTCTTCTAATTAATTTCCTTTCAGTGTGCACAAATTTGTGCATCGGGCCTCTAATTTTCTAATAAAAACCCAAAACGTGTTTATGTGGCACATAAATTAATTGCTCAAACATTAGTTACATATCATTCTCATTGTTTTCAATGAGAGCAAAATTTCAGTTGTTAGAAGGACTGGGTATGTTTGCTATTTTGGGGCTTATACTTGGGGCAAATAGTGCCTGCAGTCCCTGCCTATTGCTCTTGCCATTGATGGTGGTGGTGATGGGAGTGGGGTATTAGCCATGAGGCTGAGAAGGTGGTAGATTAGACATTGGGATGAAGTCTATTCACAATTTGCCTGCATCCCATTTTTTCTCTTCTATGAAGCCAATTTTTATTAGAACTTTAGATAAAGAGAAGAAACTCTACTTTAATAAATTAGGGAGGGAAACTGATTGATATTGGTCATCAGTGAATTTTCCTCCCTTTGCAAAGAGAGCAGTAATGAATTTTGGAGAGTCAATGATGGGGGTTAGTCACTAGCTAGGGTTTTTCACCTATGAAACACTGCAAATAAAAGGAACTTTTTATTGCTGTTGTTTTCAGAAGTGGAGACAAGCCAGCTGTGATTTCTAGAGGCCTATTCTTGGGAGGTAGAGAGACAAAAGTCAACTGTGTCCCATTTTTATCGCTTTGTTTTGGGATCTAGAAACCATCTTCGGAACACATGTACCACCTTTACCTAAATTTCATTTCATCCTCAATATTTGTCTTATTTTAATTAGTATTTAATGTCACCCTTTGCTGACATATTGAAACATAGACTACTTTATTTTTTTCCTAGGAAATCTTTGAACAGAAATATTTGGGGTCAGAAGAGCTCAGTTTGGTTTCCAATTCAATTTTTACATGTTGGTTATGTTGGTGAAGCTACTTTATTTTGCTGAGCCTTAGTTTCCTCATAAATAAATGAGATATTGATAAAACATTTTATCTTCAGGTGGTCAGGTGGTTAGGAGGAAAAAATGTAACAATGCATTGTAATCTACAGAGTGCAGTGTCTATATCAGTTGTGGCTGCCAGCTATTACCAAACTTTTTAAGACAAAAAATGAGTCTGGAACATGCTTCTCATTCATAGAGAGTGTTTTTATGTGTACAAAACAAAGAAAAGCAAGCATCATTTCTGCTTTCAAAACACTGTGTATGTATTCCGTCTGCTAATAGCACTTACACAAAAACAGAACAATTCACAAAATTATACCAGAACATAAAATGCACTACAGACACAGTTGAAAGAAATAATTCCTAGTGAATTTATCATTAAGACATTTTTATGTGGGTGGAAGCTTGTAAGGATTGAGTCATAGGATTGTATCTTCAGAAAGTTTTGGGATGCCGGTAAAAGAGTGACAGAAGGCCAATGACTTCACTCCTCTTCTAGCTTGTATGGAGTTGCTCTGCCCATAGGAATAGTGAACTTCCTTTGTGATTCATTTCACATATTAACTCTTTAAGGTGTCCTAAGAAGCTCTGCCCAAATCACCTCCACTCCTTAACCTACTTCCAAGTCATAAAAGCATAGCTGCCCCACTGTTTTACCTTCAAGATTTTTCTATAGGTATTTATCACATTTATTAAATTATAGTCTTAATTTGCCTTTTTGTCATCTCCATTTCCTTACTGTCTTGGAAGTGACTTATTCATCCTAAAATAGTGTTTTGAAAATGCTTATTGAATAAATGTGCTTAGTAGGTGCACACAATGCCATTTATTTAGGGGATCCATAGAGAATGAAAATCATCTTCAAGGAAAATGGCTGGGGTGTGTGTGTGTGTTTGTGTGTGTGTGTGTGTGTGTGTGTGTATGTGTGTAGAAAGATAATATATCTATACCTATCTACGTATAAAATCTCAATTTTCATTCCTGAAACTTGCTTGGCTTAATGTAAACTACATTATTATTTATGTGTACATATTTGGATTTTAAAAAATCCACTAAAGCTGTATGTCTTTTAATAGGAATAAAGGAGGTTTCTAATTTTTATTTAAACGATGTTTGAAAACTTTTGCTCATCTCTGTGATGCCATTGCAAGGGCAGAACTTAATTCTGTTCATAATATTATTTTGTTTTGTTTTGTTTTGTTTTGTTTTCTGTAGTCTGTGGGACTGGAACTGCTCTTTGACCTTAATCACCAGTTTTTCTTTTTCTCCCTCCCACCCCCCAATCAATATGCATCTCTGAAAGTGTTTCTGTATCCTCTATCCAGTGCTAATTGGGTGGAAGGTACAGAAATTAGGCCCTCAGGGCTCTGCCCTGAAGAGTTTGCAGCTGGATGAGAGGCAGCTGTGTGCTGAGTTGAATGATAAAGTGCACCTTTCTGTTGATGATTTTCTAAGCAAGGAGGCAGAGTTACATTGTTTTAATAGTGCAAAATAGACTTAGCCCCACCATGCCCTAACTTTGGAGAAAATGTTTGGGTAGGAAGGAAGAGGCTCCAGGACCATTGAGAACTGGATGTGGTTCCCTTAATGGCAAGATAAGCCTGAGACTGGAGTAAGTGGAATTGCACACAGGAGGGAAAGCTTGGGAAGCGGGAGGTTGAAAGTCCAGGGCCCAGTGGTTTATCTAATGTTGCGAGATAAGTTTATGCTATTTATCCTCAGTGCTATTTATACTGTTTACTTCAAAGAAGAGTAGATTAGAAAAGGGGTCTGAACTTGGCCTGGCTGTGAAATGTGTTCAGAACTACCTGTCTGGTTACTGTTTTACAGAGGTAGGTGGATGTGTGACTATTTTCCAGCTCACGTTAGAGTAGTGATGCAGAGAATGTTTGCTTTAAGAAGCAGGAGTCCAAATTGTAATTTGGGGTAGAATGGACCTTGGAGACTATTCCTTCTCATTTGCTTCTAAGAAAATAGGTCAGCAAATGGTTTGCCTGGATCTCCAGGTGGAGGCAAAGTTAGAGGCAGGACTCTGGTATACTCTGAGGTTCCCATTTTCTTTTGGTTTGTAGATTCTTTTTAGACAACTACCTTTAGAGAGATCTAGACAAGTTCTAACCAGTGTCTAGGGGTGTGGACTATTAAAGAATGTGATTATCCTTAAAGTAGAGATCTGCTCCTACTAGAGTGACTGATGAAGACTTGTTTTTCCTTAATGACACTAGGATAGATATAAGTCTATGGGAGAGGATCCTCTGGACCCCAGGTGGCTGAAGCATTGGCCAGGTTTATTTAACTCCTCTGACCACTTGACAACTAGTTTTCTGTCAGCTGCAATATGCAAAACATTCTTATCTATTGGAATTTCCTGACATCAGGGTTCTGACTCTATGATTAATAATTTCTTTAGGCCAGGGACCACAGCTAACCATTATTTTGTGATATCCTGTGCTTGTCACTGAGCAGGTACTTATGTGTTTTTTTTGTGTGTGTGAAAGAAGACTATGCTATCTACTCACTATTTTGTGCAGTGCAAGTTATAAAGTTGATCATCTTAAGAGAATTGACTTTTGAAGTAAAGAAAATGCTTTTCTTTTTGGTACTACTAATGAGCCTTCCTGTCTGCTTTTCTCTCTCATTCTCTGCAGTGTGTCGAGATTTCGCTGTCTTGGAGGACCACACCCTGGCCCACAGTCTGCAGGAACAGGAGAGTGAGTAATAGCCCTCAACCCTGCTAACTTCAGTTTTCTTTTGTGTAGTGGTAGCTTGAGGCAGGTGTCTTTGAGTGAGTCAGGGAGTGAGTCAGGGAGAGAACACCGTCACCAGACTGTACCATCCATCCCTCCGAGCAATTTGTCTGGGCCCAGGACACTTGGGTGAAGCATGACATTCTGGGTGTTTTGAAGAATGACAGCTTCCAGGTGTTAGATGACTGTGGGTACATTGGAGGAAAAGAGGAGCTCAAAACCTCAGTGTGTTGTAGGAGGGAGACTGGTTGTATATGTGTCAACGTGAGAAGCGTCCAGACCTGTAGAGAAGTTTTATGAGTTTATGTGAGCCAAACTGAGGACAATTGCCCAGAAGCAAAATCTCAACAGACTGAAAAAGAAAAATGCTCCACAGAATGGCAGTTTTGCAGTTTATTTTATACATTATAGTCAAAGGAGGAGACATAGGGAGGGTTACATGAAACCCATTGATGATAGTTTAGGGAGGCAGTAGAAAGCAAATCAAGGAAATCTCTGAGATTAGATAAAGAGCAAAATGGAGACACACAGACTTCTTTTACATTGCTGGGTACAAGATAGTTACTAATTAACTTTGCAGCACATAGAGATGGTATGCAGGGAACAAGATAACAAAGGGGTTTTGTGGTCTCCTTGACTGGTAAAGGGGGATTACTCTTGACATTTCAAAGGTATGTTATCTTAGATGCAAAAAGTCAGTAGACAGGCTTAGTTAAGGTAAAGATTGATCTTTGTCAAGGAAGATACTGCTCTAAGACATGACTATCAGAGATGACTCACTTGAATTCAGTTGCAGACCATCCTTTGTGGTTACTTCCATCCTGAAGGCCCTCCCTGAACTTGTCAGGTGTAGTGTGTGGCCCCTTTTTGTCCACACTGTATTTGGTGTGTGTAGATATCTGGTATAGGGAGCTATTTCTTACCCTAGGAATAGGGGCAAAGGTCTTTTTTCAGGCAATGAAGGTATCTAGACTGTGGATTTTTCTGAATATTTAAGTCTATAATTATGAAAAATGAAGCTGTATGTGTTGTACAAAAGTACATATTTATGAGTATGTAATTTGTGAATCATTAATTGGTGAAGCAATAGAAAAGTAAGTATTGCAAAATGTAGTTTATAACTAGAGTGATAGCATGTGGAGCAGAGAGAGCACTGGCCTTGGCTTTCGAATATTTGTGTAGAAATCCTGGCACTGCCACTGTTTTGCCATGTGACCAAAGGGAAGTGACTTAACCTTTCTGACCCTCTTTATACTTAATGGAAAGATGGGGATAATAATTTCTGTGCTGCCTATTAACCGGCGTTATTGAGAGCATACAATAAAATGACGGGTATGAAGCTCTTCAATGGAAAAGCTTTTTTAAGTTTATTAGGAAGTTCATTATTAACAAGCCAAAGCATTGTAATTCCTCTCCTCCATCTTTCTGTCCAGTTGAGCATCATTTGGCATCAAACATTCAGCGAAACCGTTTGGTCCAGCATGACCTCCGGGTGGCTAAGAAACTGCAAGAGGAGGATCTGAAAGCTCAGGCTCAGCTTCAGAAGCGCTACAAAGACCTGTGAGCATTCTGGGGAGTGGAGGGAGTCCCGCCAGGACTGGTTTACTGGTTTCTTCTGTGGAGTCAGCAACCAGGGCAGGGGAGGTGGAGACTCTCCTCTTGTTCCTCTCATTCCTGACACTGTTAGGTTAAAAAAATGGTGTGTGTGTGTGTGTGTGTGTGTGTGTGTGTGTGTGTGTATGTGTGTGTGTGTCTCTATCTGTTTCTTTGATTTGAAAACTTTGGTGTTGGGATGTATGCATTCTGGTGTGAACTCTTAGCATTTTAACTTGTATGACTTTGAGAAATGTGTTCCATCTATTTTCCTTCTGTACAAGAAGGAAAAAGATGATCTCTGTCTCATAGTTTGGTTGTCTGGGGGATCCATTGAAACACTGTACATGATAGAACTTCATGACTTGTTTTGAGTTCCTTTACTGTCTCCTATCAGGGTTTGCTGCTCTTATTTTCCTCAAACCTCTTACTTCTCAGATACAGGCAGAATCGTCTGGAAAGCCCTGAATTGCACACTCAGTTCTCTCCATAGCTTCAGTGTCTGACAAACATTCTTTTTTCAATCTCCTCTTTTACAGTTAGATATGAAAAGACCATATCTAAGTTTTCTTATGGAACAATTACTTTTCATTTCCAATGCTCTAAAACTCCCAGGGTACATTTCTTCATTGATAGTAGCTCCTTATATCTAATTAGCTATTGTTTTGAGGAAGAAGGGGTAAAGGGACAATCAAAGGTACCCCGCAGGTTTTTTTAGTTGTCATGTGCATATAAACAAGAGAGCCTATTATTTTTGCTGCCTTTGAGGAAGGGTTTGTTTTTTTATTTTATTATTGGTGGAGAGGACTTCATTCATTATTTTTTGTTCAGCTTCCATCTTTTGTAAATAAACATTCTTTTTTTAAAAAAAAATATTTTATTGATTTTTCACAGAGAGAAAGAGAGAGGGATACAGAAATAGAAACATCGATGAGAGAGAATCATTGATCAGTTGCCTCTTGCACGCCCCCTACCAGGGATGTGCCCGCAACCAAGGTACATGCCCTTGACTGGAATCGAACCTGGGACCTTTCAGTCCGCAGACCGACGCTCTACCACTGAGTCAAACCAGTTTCGGCTGTAAATAAACATTCTTACTGACTCTTGCTATCCCTGACACCATGAAAGGCACTGGACACCACAGATGTGGAGAAACATAACCACTGCCTTTAATGGCCTTAGGAACATATTATGAACACTATATGTAAGGTACATGCATGAAGCACATATAATTGAATAGTCAACTTCATGTTTATGAAGAGAGAATTGATTGAGAAATTAGGCAGCTTCTGAGCACAGGAGCAAGACTTACTCATTTTTGTATCCTGTGTTGAGCATAGAATCTGCATATAGAAGATGGTATATTTAAATATTTATTAAATGCCCACATGCCAAAACAAACAATACTATGGTAACAGCAGTTTTCTCAGTGGTCAGTATTAAATAAGCTAGTCAGCCAGAAAGGTTTCTACTGGGAACTGTAGCTGAGGAATATACATGTTTTCCCTTTTTAAAAACATTATCAAAACGGAAAAAAATATATAATTAAAAATTTATAAACACCAAAGTCATACTAACTCCTCGAGGTGATCACAATATTATTGACATCGAGTGGTCTCACTCCCCGTGTTTTTCTGTGTACTCTATGTGTTTGTGGAGATTAATCTTACAGTGTACCTCTCCTTTGCAGAAAACATGCCTGTCTCCCTGTAGGTGGTCCCAGTGGAGTGAGATGATATGGTCGTATAGAAAAAGCATGGGACTTTCCATTGTAGTGTCAGCATCAAATTTTCACTTAGTTTCTCTGTGCCCTTTGGAAGGTAATTTCATTACTCTGGCCTCAAGCTCTTCATCTGTGAGTGGTGACAACAGCAAGCTCTGCCACACTGTTGTGAGGATTGAGATTAAAATGTGCACTGGCTCATAGTGAGTAGTCAGTACATTGTTTCCTCTTTCCTTTACTCATGTTGTTTTGTCTTTTGTTTTTTAGTGAACAACAGGACTGTGAAATTGCTCAGGAAATCCAAGAAAAGCTGGCTATTGAGGCAGAGAGACGGCGCATTCAGGAGAAGAAGGATGAGGTTGGTTAATGCCCCTACACCCGTGGAGGAAGGACTGCTCAGCTCTGGACCAGTTCCTTTCTGTGTTTCTGGGCTAAGTGTATGGCTGCTGCATGGGCAACAGAACTCTCCTCTTTTGAGTGCATAGTCCAAGCATTGCCCTCCAGAGACCATTATTTATTGCCCACCAATCAGTTGCATGTGGTGAAATCTGAAAGCATGATAAATTAGTATCCTAGTGTTGCTATAACAAATTACCACAGACTTGGTGACTTAAGACAAGAGAAATTTATTCTCTCGCAGTTTTGGAGGCTAGAAATTGAAATTAGGATGTTGGCAGGGCTATGCTGGCTGTTGGGAAAAATCTTTCTTTGGCATATTCTAGCTTCTGTGGCTCCTGACAGTCTTTGGCATTCCTTGGCTTGTCACTGCATCACTTCAGTCTCTCCTTCCATTGTCGTGTGGCTTTCTTCCCTGTATTTTTGTGTCCTCCTGTTTTCTTATAAGGACATCGTCTTTAGATTGAGGACCTACCCCAATCTAATGTGACTCCTTGTAACTAATTATACCTAGAAAGACCTTATTTGTAAATAAGGTCATATTATGAGGTCCTTGTTGGAAATGAACTTTTAGGGGACTCGATTCAACCCAATACAGGATGTCTGTCTATAGAGTATTCCCACAACTTTAATGTGAGCAGAACTTAAGTATGGCCTGAGCAAGGGTCAGTAGCAGCCATTGTTCTCTCTTTTTTGTTAATTGTTTCACTTGCCTATGATTAGCTGTCTCAAAGCACTGATCTGCTTGATTCTGTATATATTTTTAAATTGTATTGTTTTTAAAGTAAAAAATGACTAAAATTAGCAATAGTTTTGTTTTTAAGATTTGAATATGCAACTATTACCTGCATTTGTGTTATGTTTTCTGTATTTGTTAGTTTCTTTTCACTTTGAATTGATTGTCTTCCTTCTTTCATACCTATTCTGCTATTCTCATCCACTATCTTGATTTAGAGTAAGAAAGAAAATGATTTATAATTTTGAATAATATAATGGTCATATGATTTATTATATAATTATAAATACTTTGTAGGCTTAAAAGGGGGCACTATTAATAATTTACATAAACTGGGATTGTCCTTAGCTAACTGGAACATATGGTTGTCCTATTAAATAGATATGGGCAGGGTCACCAGTATACTGGTCTGTACACACTACTACTCTCACTGAGCCATCCTGGTTCCCATAGAACTGTTTGTTCATTGACAAACGAGTATGAGACACTCACTGTATGAGTGTATTTAGCTGTGTCTTTAAGAAATAAACCACATTTCTGTGGTTATCCGAACTGGAAGTAGGAATTAGGCATTGCCTCCTATCCTTCCTGTTATCAGCACAGGAGCTCTTTCTTCCAGCAAAGTGTGTTGCTTCTCTTATAGTCAAGACTTTGCTTTGGGAATGAAACTGGGAACTGAAAGAAGTGATTATATTTTGTAAACAGGGAAGCTTCTTTTTAAAAATAACAGAGCAATGGTTGGCTTCTGATAAATGCTACTGGTGTCCTGTGATTTTTCTCCTCACCCCAGCCTCATTCAGGGACAAATGATTATAAGGAGAAATCAAAACACTTTCTTTTAGGCATGTAGAATCTACGTAGCAATCTCAATAAATAACCCCATGATAATAATATATAAAGTAAGCAGTGTAGTGAAAAAGTCCATTTTTCACATATAGAAGTTGAGGAAAAAAGTGACTGGCCCCATGCTATAATAAGGTGCCAGGGAAATGGTTGTACATACAATACAGATTTGACTGACAGCTTCTGACTTAGCTATTTTGTGACATAACATAAATCATGTAGATTTTGAAGTTAACTGCTCTGGGTTTGAATCTTAGCTGTTTAACTTTTAGCCTTGCATTTCAATATCTTTCTTAAACATGTAGAAACTCAGGTTCTATATTGGAGAAGTCACGATAGTTATGCATAATTTAAAGAGCTGTTATGAGGTTTAAATGAAATCGTGTACAAAAGATACATACTAACTTAGTAATTGCTTTTTTTGCTTTCTTGTAAGGTGTTTTTCTCACCATCCTACTCTTTGTAACAACTCAGATTTCTCTTGTAGGGATATGTGATAAATCAGTGGAGGTATGTGATAAGTGAGAGAGTGGTACACATATATAGGCTTAGTGTATTCCAAAATGCTGAGGTTTGAGGGGTCTTCAGGAGTTTTGTTACCCCTAAAGTAAGGCAAAGTAATGAGAGGCCTAAGGAAAAGCAACCAGATGTCCTGCTTTTAACAATTATTCCCCTGTCCCGTGGCGTTTTAAAAAAGTCCCAATAGGGATGTCTGGTCACTTTACCTTAGGCCTGTCACTACTTTGCCTTCCCAACTATTTGACCTACTGAAGTGTGTCCCCTGCCCCTGGACGACGAAGAGGTTAAATGAGAAACCCAGTTGTGGAGCCTTAGCGAGGCTAGCCTTTAAAAACCCCATTCAGACTTTTTGAGTTTTCAACTGGTGCCTTAGATTAGAAGGGCGTTACTGTGCAAAGATATTCTTTTATGGTAGAAAAATATGACTCTCGCTGAAAATATGGCTCAGTGGATAGAGCATAAGCCTGTGGACTGAAAAGTTCCAGGTTCAATTCCGGTCAAGGTCATGTACCTTGGTTATGGGCACATCCCCAATAGGGGGTGTGCAGGAGGCAGCTAATTGATATTTCTCTCTCATTGATGTTTCTAGCTCTCTATTCCTCTTCCTTTCTCTCTGTAAAAAAATCAATAAAATTATTATAAAAAAAGAAAAATATGACTCTCAGCTTACAGGTATGTTGTTAATATTAAATGAACAAAATTTGCATTAGTAAAGTTTGTCTTGAAAAATGTATGATAACGCTAATTCATTTATTTTCATCCAAGCTGGCTCACACAGGAGACTGAGACAGTAGAGCTCATTTTCCTGCCAAATATTCCAAAAGCCTTGCCTGTTAGTCATGAACTGTCTTAATTAGTCTCTCTCTCTGTGTCTTCCTGCCCCCCCCCCCCCCCCCCCGACCTTCTTTACTTCCATGTAGAGTCTGCTTAGCTAATGAGTTTTTATTTAACAGCAGGGATATGGAAAATTCCTCTCTGGATTTTCACCCAAATCTCTCTTAGTTTTTGGGGTCAACTTTCTGGGTACTTTATAATCCTCTAAAACAACCAGATGTGGAATTCAAAGTCCCTTTACTCTTGATACAGATTTTTTTCCCCCCTGAACAACGTTGTGTAGGAGAATTAAGAGTTATACAACTTTGTGGGTGAATCAGCATGTCTAGCTTTGTTCCAGTATAATTTTATTATGATTTTAACAGAGCACAGATGAAGGAAAGTAGCATTTTCTTTCAGAGAAACAGCTGTTGAAAAGTTTAAAAAAAATAAAAGGGAAGGAAAAAGATCTTTTTATATTTTTATCAGCATTGTGGCCTCTCCTCTCTTTCCTTCCCTCTCCCTATCCCCTCTTTTCTCTTTACTCCTCCCTCTCTCCCTACTTTCATTCTTTCTTCCTTTCTTAAAAACTGTTAACAATATCTTAACTATAGTATCCTCATGTGTTTCTGGGTGCCATGTTGAAAGGGCTTCTAGCCTTGGGGAATACCATACTGTATGAGTTTGTGGTTAGTACAAGAGGACTAATTTCACTGGGATCCCTCCCTTGATCACAACATAAGCATTTGTCAGTGACCTTTAATAAAACGAAGGAATGTGTATTTAGTTCATGTAACTTAGTTATTCTTAAGTAAAACTCTAAGAGAGAAAGTGTGTGTATCTATCTGTGTGTGTATGTGTGAGATGAGAAAGAGAGCGAGAGAGAAATAGAAAGAGAGAGAGATAGAGAGAGAGAGAGGAGAGAGAGACTGTCCATAGAAATACATATGTGTGTCTTTGAACTTAGGTTTGTAGTTAGACAGACATGAGCAGAACAAGGATGATGGGCCAGGTATAGAAGGTCACCAGGATGGAAAGCCCCTGGTGCCTAGCAATGAGCCAAACTGGGAAAACAAAGACCTCATCCCTTAGGGTAACCTTTTCTCCCCTAGCATATCGCTGGTCATCTGGTTTAGTCCCACTGATCTTTCATATTGCTGGTTATTCAGTCTGGAACCCCCTGACCTTTCCTTCCCTGGTATGTTACTAGTTATGAGAGTTAGACCCCTCAGAGGAGAAATAAGAGGGTGGGAAAATAGCCTTTAATCATTAAGCTCCTGAGACCCTGAGGTTCTGATCCACATCAAGTACATGTAGACCTCAGTTGTGTTTCAGATCGAGTCCCAGAAAAGCAGTAAAACCAGAAAGCAACCCTGCAGGCTGACCTCAGGACCAGCTGCGTTGGATAACAATACCTTGTCTTGGTGCCAACCAATGAGTGGAGACCATGACCCTGAAAAGACACACCTAGAAAGCTGATGAATATTCTGTTGGGATTCTCCCCTGAGGCCTCTCAAAGAACCTCTGCCCTTAAAAGGCTCTTAGGACAGAGGACCCAGATCACTATCCCCCACCAGGAGCATACCCAAGTCTTTCTCCTCCCTTCACCTCTTTCTCCTACCCCAGGTGTATTACCTTTATCCTTCTCATTCCTAAATCCTAAGTGCCATTCTTTTGCCTCTGTAACTGGTTTCCTAAGACCATTGCTTGTACCACTCACTTCTACCTCTGTGACTTTCCAGATAAAACTTTCTCTTATTGAGTCTTGGCTCTGAATTCTTTCCTAGCCAGAGCTCAAATACCACGGATGCTGAACCCAAGTCTGGTCTTACCCAACAAGTCTAACACCTGTTGCCATTCTCACAACCAACAAGCCCAAATATATGTGGCTATTAGAGAAAAACTTCTCTTTTTTTTCTTAAGTAAACAACATAGCCACCATGTTATGAAAAGTCTGGCACTAGTCCAGCAATTTAAAATCACTTATAATGTCGACTGCTCAGGAATAAACTTAGTAACCAATTTACATTAAAAATTGTGAACCATGCTAC